AGAAACATCAACTAGGGAGTGGAGACCCTATGTTGGAAAAGGGCGACTAGGGAGTGGAGACGCTATGTCTAAAATAAAATCAACTAGGGAGTGGAGACCCTATATTGGAAAAGGCAACTAGGGAGTGGAGACCCTATGTCTAAAATAAAATCAACTAGGGAGTGGAGACCCTATGTTGAAAAAGCGACTAGGGAGTGGAGACCCTATGTCTAAAATAAAATCAACTAGGGAGTGGAGACTCTATGTTGGAAAAGCGACTAGGGAGTGGAGACCCTATGTCTAAAAAATAAAAATCAACTAGGGAGTGGAGACCCTAATTTGGAATAAGGCGACTAGGGAGTGAAAAGCCTATGTCTAAAATAAAATCAACTAGGGAGTGGAGACCCTATGTTGGAAAAACGATTAGGGAGTGCAGACCATATGTCTAAAAAATAAAAATTAACTAGAGAGTGGAGACCCTATGTTGGAAAAGGCGACTAGGAAGTGGAGACCCTATGTCTAAAATAACATCAACTAGGGAGTGGAGATCCTATGTTGGAAAAACGACTAGGGAGTGGAGATCCAATGTCTAAAATAAAATAAACTAGGGAGTGGAGACCCTATGTTGGAAAAGCGACTAGGGAGTGGAGACCCTATGTCTAAAATAAAATCAACTAGAGAGTGTAAACCCTATGTTGGAAAAATGACTAGGAGTGGAGACCCTATATCTAAAATAAAATCAACTAGGGAGTGAAGACCCTATGTTGGAAAAGAGACTAGGGAGTGGAGACCTTATGTCTAAAATAACATCAACTAGGGAGTGGAGACCCTATGTTGTGAAAGAGACTAGGGAGTGGAGACCCTATGTCTGGAATAAAATCAACTTGGGAGTGGATACCCTATGTTGGAAAAGGCGACTAGGGAGTGGAGACCCTATGTCTAAAATAAAATCAACTAGGGAGTGGATACCCTATGTTGGAAAGCGACTAGGGAGTGGAGACCCTATGTTGGAACATGCGACTAGGGAGTGGAGACCCTATGTATAAAAAATAAAAATCATCTAGGGAGTGGAGACCTTATGTTGGAAAAGGCGAATAGGGAGTGGAAACCCTATATCTAAAATAAAATCAACTAGGAAGTGGAGACCCTATGTTGGAAAAACGACTAGGGAGTGGAGACCCTATGTCTAAAATAAAATCAATTAGGGAGTGGAGACCCTATGTTAGAAAAGAGACTAGGGAGTGGAGACCCTATGTTGGAAAACGCAGCTGGGGATTAGAGACCCTATACTACTATGATTTGGAACTTTTCTTTTCTTTTCTCTCTTATTAATTTTTTTTTTTTCATTTCAATTTTTTTAAAATTAATTTTTAGAGAATGAGTAAATGTGGGAAAGAATTTGAATAAGACTTCCCTTTTGGAGTTGTTTCTAGTTCCCGCGCGATTTCTTTTTTCCCTTCTTTTGGAGTTCTGCAACTGCTTCTTATAAAGTTGTTTTTAGATTGCACTTGTTTCCTGTTTTTCAAATATAGAACAATTGTTAATTTGATACGATGGTTGATTTTGCGGCCTTGAGTGTTTCAACCACTTGATCTTGGCCCATCTTCTTTTGATAATGATTTTAACCTGCCACTAATTGTTTCTTGAATACCACTTGCATTCCTAGCCCTAGAGAGCCTTTGACTTTTCAAACTTTTACAGGACGGTTGGTCGCGTGAGACTTAACCTTTTCAACTTTATTTTTCCCTCGTAGGCACTATCAATTTGATTTTCTCTTTCCAAGAGCTTTTGATTTCGAAGCATCAGCTGTCACGGCCAATCAGGGTCGACTTGATGCCCCTGCCGAGGTTGGGTTCCCTTTTTTACATATTGGCTTGCATCAAATGAGAGCCATGTAAATCAGTCTTGCCATCCCTTCTTTGCCTTAGTTTTGGAACAGAGTTAGACCGAAAGGGATTCAAAGAAAAACAAACAATGGAATGAAGAATGAGTTTGAAAAAAAAGGTATCCCTTTCGGGGAAAGGAAAAGAAGGACTTATCTGAAATACATGCGGACTTCAATGAACATGACATGCCTTTTGGACAGGATGCCTGACCTGTGTAAACCGTCCGACTCTCAGAAAGTCACCACAACTTTTACCTCGAAACCGAGGAACCTTGTTCAGGGTTGTGTTGATGACATTGGTTGTGTGGATCCTTTTTCCGATCAGTGCCTTTTCGGGTTTTCACCAGTTGACCTCTCTCATTTCTCTTCTCAACATCGCCTTATAGCGCTCTTTGCGAGTTTTCACTAACAAGACTTTTTTAATTTTCAATTTTTCTGCTTACTATCGCCTTATGATGCATGTGAGGGTTTTCACCAATAAGACTCTCTCATTTCATTTCTCTCATTTTGGTCGTTTTAGATCCAAGTAAATGTACCTTCCAATTTGAACATCTTTGTCGATTGGTCGGAAGGACTTGAAAAATATTTGGGTAAAAGAAATTGGATTGAATTACAACTTCGGAACCTTTCAGGCGAAACTGTCGCCGAACCATTATAACATCTGCCCCAATTTGTACTTTTGGGGGAATGTCATGTTTTAGTATGACTGAACCCCAGAGGGAGGCTGCCTACGTATCCTTTCGGAATTAAGTCGAACGTAGTTCAAGGAACTTTGTTTCTGATTTTCTTTTGTTTTTTCCTTTCTTTTTTTTTTTCATTTTCTTTCAATTTTCATTTTACTTTTTTTTTCTATAACACTTTCAGGTTCCAAAGAGGGTAGTCAAAGAAAGGGAACCGACTCAAAGGGTTCGCAAAGGATTGGTAGTGTTTGAATAGTGAGAAAGAAAACCTTCGTCATCCCAATCGGATTATGTTAAAGCTATGAAAGTAGTCAAACGTAATACCTTTTGACCGCATCTGAATTGACAGTTGTCTCGGGATCATTTCCTTCGATGTCTCCTAAGTACAGCGCTCCCTTTGGCAATACTCTTTTTATAATGTATGGACCTTTCTAATTAGGAGAAAATTTTACTTTGGCTTTTTCATGATGCGGGAGAATACGTCTCAGAATGGGATGCCCCACTTCAAATTTTTAGGGCCACACTTTCTTGTTGTAAGCACGGTCCTTTCTTTGTTGGTATAACTGCCTGTGGAAAACTGCGGCCATCCGTTTTTCATCAATCATAGTCAACTGTTGCAACCTTGTTTTGACCCATTTATCATCCTCGATCTCGACTTCAACAATGATCCGAAGAGAGAGAGTCTCAATTTCTGCAGGTATTACGGCTTCAGTGCCATAAACCAATAAGTAAGGGGCGACCCCGACTGATGTGCACACGGTCGTGCGGTATCCCAATAATGCAAATGGCAACTTTTCATGCCATTGTTTGGAACTCTGAATCATTTTCCTGAGGATCTTCTTGATGTTCTTGTTTGCAGCTTCAACAACGCCATTAGCTTTGGGACGATAAGGGGTAGAATTACGATACGTAATTTTAAATTGTTCGCATACCTCCCTCATCAAATGGATGTTCAGATTTGCAGCATTGTCTGTAATGATAGTTTTAGGAATACCAAAATGACAAATAATGTTGGAATGCACGAAGTCTACCACTGCTTTCTTAGTGACGGCTTTGAAAGTGACTGCTTCAACACACTTTTATGAAATAATCAATGGCAACAGGATGAATTTGTGCCCATTTGAAGCTTTCAGCTCGATCGGCCCAATAACATCCATGCCCCAAGAAATGAATGGCCAAGGCGCTGACATAGGATGTAACTCTGAAAGCGGTGCATGAATCAGGTCACCGTGTATCTGGCACTGATGGCACTTCCGGACGAAACTGAAGCAATCATTTTCTGTGGTCATCCAGAAATAACCTGCTCGAAGGATTTTCTTTGCAAGGACGTATCCATTCATGTGAGGTCCACATACTCCCGAATGGACTTCATTCATGATCTTTTCGGCTTCTCGAAAATCTACGCACCTCAACAGATTCAGATCCAGAGTTTTTTTGTATAGGACTTCTCCACTCAAAAAGAAACTGCTGGCAAGCCTTCTGATAGTTCTTTTTTTTTTTATCTCAATTGGCCTGCTAGGGATATTGTTTTCTTTTCAAAAATATTTTGATATAATGATACCATGGATGAATATCTGGCTCTATTTCAATTGCGTTACAATAACCATGCCTTTCTCGAATTTGGATTTCCAACGGGTCAATATGAACATTACCCGGGTATGGAAGCATTGAGGCCAGAGTAGCTAGTGCATCAGCTAGCTCATTGTGGAATCGAGGAATATACCTGAACTCGACGGACTTGAACCGTTTACTAAGATCTTTCACATGTTGCTTGTATGGGATAAGTTTGATATCTCGAGTTTCCCATTCACCGTGGGCTTGCTGAATGATCAAATCAGAATCCCCCATGATCAACAATTCCTCTACATCCAGATCAGCTGCCATGTTCATGCCCATGATGCAAGATTCATACTCGACGGTGTTCTTTGTACATAAGAACCGAAGCCGGGCTGTGGCCGGATAGTGTTGACATGTGGGCGAAATCAGAATTGCTCCAATCCCGACACCTTTTGCATTTACAGCTCCATCAAAGAATATTTTCCAAGCATTGGTATCCTCTGTAATTATTTCAATTAAGTTCACTTCCTCGCCGGGGAAATAAGTGCTTAGGGGTTGGTATTCATCATTGACCGTGTTCTTCGCTAGATGATCCGCCAAGGCTTGGGCTTTCATCGTCGTGCCAGTGACATAGATAATGTCGAACTCGGTAAGCAGGATTTGCCATTTTGCTAACCTTCCCGTGGGCATCGATTTTTTGAATATGTACTTTAGAGGATCCATTCTGGTTATGAGATATGTTGTGTTGGACAACAGGTAATGTCTGAGTTTCTGGGCGACCGAAGTTATGGCGCAACAAGTTCTTTCCAACAATGTGTACTTGGCCTCATAACTAGTGAACTTCTTGCTCAAATAATATATAGCCTGCTCTCTCTTCTCGGTCACATCGTGTTGTCCCAGGACATATCCGAAAGAATTTTTCAAGACTGTCAGGTACAAGAATAAAGGTCTTCCGGGCTCAGGCGGAACTAACACTGGCGGATGTGACAGATATTCTTTGATTTTATCTAAAGCTTCTTGATACTCATTTGTCCATTTGATCGTCGCGTCTTTCTTCAGCAACTTAAATATGGGCTCACACATGGTAGTAAGCTGAGCAATGAATCTACTGATGTAATTCAACCTCCCTAGCAGACTCATGACCTCTTTCTTTATTTTCGAAGGTGGTAAATCCCGAATAGACTTTATCTTTGTTAGATCTAATTCAATGCCCCTCCGACTGACTATAAACCCCAGAAGTTTCCCAGATGGAATTCCGAATGAACATTTAGCTGGGTTCAATTTCAAATCATACCTACGTAGACGCTCAAAGAACTTTCTCAGATCTCGCACATGGTCTTCTTGTGTTCTGGATTTAATGATCACATCATCCACATACATCTCAATTTCCTGGTGCATCATGTCATGGAAGATGGCAGTCATAGCTCTCATGTAGGTTGCCCCGGTATTTTTCAGATAGAATGGCATGACCCTATAACAGTAAGTGCCCCAAGGTGTGGTGAAAGCCATCTTTTATGCATCTTATTCATCCATCGGAACCTGGTGATACCCAGCATAACAATTCACGAAATACTGTATCTCATATTTGGCACAATTATCAACAAGAATGTGGATGTTTGGCAAGGGAAAGTTGTCCTTGGGGCTCGCTTTGTTCAGATCCCGGTAATCAACACACACTCGGGTTTTTCCATATTTCTTCGGCACTGGAACCACATTCGCCAGCCATGTGGTGTATCGGACCACTCGGATCACACCGGCTTTCAGTTGTTTAGTGACTTCTTCCTTGATCTTGTCACTAATGTCTATTTTGACATATCATCATAGGACCATGCAAACACGTCTTTGAATTCAAACAAAAGTTGGATCAATGCATCTCTCATTCTTTCATCAGCGTGAATGCTTATCATGGTTTCTCTGATCTCTTCTGAACTGCCAGATTAACTGGCTCGGTTTCATTTAAGTTTGGCTTAGGCTTATTCTCAAATTGTTCCGATTCTCGATTTATTTCCCTAAAAGCCTAATCTTCATCATATTTTGGTTCTTGATTAATTATTTCACAGTTAAATAACATTTTAGGATCTGGGCATGAAGTCCGCAAGCATGTCATATTATTTAAGTCCGCATTATTAGAACTGAAAAGGAAAAGATAAGAAAAATAGCAAAATCAGAATAAAAGAAAAGAGATATCTATAGACGATGAAATATTGATTTCAATGAATTAAATTGAAGATATGCGGGTTTACATCAAAATCAGAAGACAATAAAGTAAAAACATTCGAGTTACACTCTGAAATAACTCGTAATGTAGAAGAGATGGCAAGATTGGACTACCGGGACTCCCGTCTGACAAGGACTGGGGTAGTTTTCCAATTCTGAAGCTTGGCATCTGGCTCCATATATTGCACCTCGGCAGTGCTCGTGCCTTCCCCTAGCTGGACCATGTGAGACTCATATAGCATTTATTTCATAGCTTCACAAATATCATCTATTTCTTCGGTCGTGAAACCCTCTTCTTCTTCTTCCATATACTTGGGTTTGACAAATGATCGGGCAAGATGTGGAATGGGATGGAGAAGGACCCACCCTTTTTCTTTGCGCTCCTTCGCCCATTTTCTATCAGCTTCTGTAGCTCGAAAACCTATGCCGAAAAACTTCTCATTGGCGATCGAAGTAATAGGCTCTGTGATGCCCTGTAGAGACACCCCGAGTCCCTTTCCGAGCTTGTACCCATGTCTAATCATTTTAGTGTCGATCATGACCGAGGCATTAGATAATCAAGGTTGAGATAATGGGGACCCTTCTTCACATTGGTCGGCAACCACAATCTCGAAGGCCTGCTATAAAATATGCTCGCTGCCTTCCCTAGCTTCAAGGCATGGGACTGAAGGGTCCCTGTAGATGGACTGCTCGTCCTCTCCATGGACAACAATTTCTTGATTTTCATATTCAAATTTGACTATTTGGTGAAGAGTGGAGGGAACAGCTCCGGCAGCGTGAATCTATGGTCTTTCCAAGAGGAAATTGTATGAGGTGTCCATGTCCAGAACCTGGAAAGTCACTTCGAAATCCACGAGGCCAATGGTAAAGATCAAATTAATTTCCCCCATTGTGTCTCTCTTGACACCATCGGATTCTTTCCGTTCCAATCTCCATTCTCTGGAGTGTTGAAAGAGGGAAAATATCGACCCCGGAACCACCATCTAGCATGACTCTCTTCACATAATAGCCCTCACATTTGACAGTCAGGTGAAGGGCTTTGTTGTGAGTAGCTCCCTCTGGGGGGAAATAATCACGGCTGAAAGAAGTCTTATTGAACTCAAAGAATCATTCAACCATTCTCTCCAATTGTTCAACAGAAGTTTCAACTGGGACGTATGCCTCATTCAAGGTTTTAAGAAGCACTTTCTAGTGTTCGTTCGAGCTCAGCAACAGAGATAAGAGTGAAACCTGGGAAGGAGTCTTCCGGAGTTGGTCAACTATTGCATATTCTGAAGTTTTCATTTTTCTGACGGGCTTCTTTGATGGCAACCGTTTATCCCTTTTCAGATTGGATTTATGTAACTCTTTTGGGTTGTGGTACTTTCCAGACTGGTTGATTTCATTTACTTCTCCCAAGACCTCTTTCCCCTTGTAGGCAACTACTGTTCTGTTGTAATTCCAGGGAACTGTGGTGGGGTCTCTCATAGGGCTCTATGGTGCACAGCTGATAACCACAGGCTCAGTCAGCCTTGGTGGAATTACTGCCTCCCCCCTCCCGCCACATAGGTCCCTTTCGGCACATACAATCTCGTCACATTCAGCGTAGCCTTCCTTTGCTCAAATTTCTTGGGAGTGTTCAAAATGAGTTGTTATTTTCTTGGGGCTTTAGGAACATAGAGAATCACATTCTTAGCATGTGCTTCCCCGGTCTTTGTTTCTTCAACTTGAGGAACCAGAGTAATTTTCTTCTCGGTTTTGGTTTGTTTCACTACCGCTTTGGGTCTTGCCTCTGAATCAGCGATGGCAATGATGGCTTTCAATGCTGGATTAAATTTCTTGTTTTCACAAATCATTCCAATAATCGGCCCATTGTTATGAGCGGGTAATGGATTGTTAGTCACATTAGGGACTTCCTCGTCCCTCAACACAACCTCTTTTTGTTCTATCAAGCTTTCAACCGCCGTTTTGAGGGTCCAACAGTCCTCTGTGTCATGGCCCTCTACTCCCGAATGGTAAGCACACCTGGTACCATCCCGGTATGATGGGGATTCGGGGTTTTGCCTATTGGGGGGTACCGGTTACAACAGACCCAGTTGGATTAACTTCCGGAGTAGGCTGGAGTAAGATTCACCAATAGGGGTAAAATTGTTTTTCCTGGGAGGCTCATGAGGGCGTGGATTACATTGATGTGTATTTTGTATTGGACGGGGGTTATATGGAGCTTGGTAGGGATGGTTATTTTTGGGAGATGGAGCTCGGGCTTGGTTGTAGTGTTGTTGTGGCAATGTGTAAGGTTAGGAATTCATCACCGCATAATGAGGCGGTGCCACGGCATAAGCTGCATCTTGGTGTGGATAGTAGTGTTGCGGGGTTCTTGGCGGTATGTAAGAGCGATCGAATGATCGGCGGGGCCCTCTTGATCCCGAAGCCATCATGGCTTTCCTCTCTCTTTTTACGATTGGCCAAACCCCCTAAGCCGTTCTGGATGGATTAAGAGGTGGCTTTCAAAGCAGCTTGACTTAATATCCGGCTAGTTTTCAGGCCGTTCTCCACCATTTCTCCGATTTTGATTGCCTCTGCAAACGGTTTGCCCATAGCGGACATCATATTTTGAAAATAATCAGCCTCTTGGGCTTGCAAGAAAACCATCACCATTTCGGTCTCATCCATAGGAGACTTTACCTTGGCGATCTGCTCGCGCCATTTGACAGTGTATTCTTGGAAGTTTTTTGCTATTTTCTTTTTCAAATTGGACAACGAGTTTCTGTGTGGAGCGATGTCCACATTATACTGAACTGACGGACAAAATCTCGGGCCAGATTATCCCATGCATGCCAATGAGTAATGTCTTAATCCATATACCACTGGGAAGCAATTCCGATGAGGCTTTCCCTAAAACAGGCCATTAACAGCTTCTATTTTCCACCAGCACCCCTCAGATGGTTGCAGTATCGTTTCAGATGAGCGATCGGGTCTCCGTGCCCACCATATTTTTCAAAATTTGGCATTTAGAAACCAGTTGGCAAGTGAAAATAGGGAAACATACACATGTTGGAGTATGAGACACTTTTCTAGCCACTCAGTCCTTGCATGTTTTTAGGCTTTGTTTCAAGCTTCTTATTTTCTGA